AGGACACTCAGCTCGGGGAAGCGTCGCTAAGCAATCTGAAGAATCTGCCCAATCACAAAGTGGTGGTAATGAAGGGGGTGGGGCATCCTTGTTCTCTTGATGATCCAGAGACCTGGCATAAGGCAGTCCTGGACTTCCTACAGCTGTTGTGATCGTGTTAAAAACCCTAATAGTGTAAAAGTGTACTAATCTAAACATTAATGACATAAGTGATCAATATGAAGTACGTTTAATATCATACTTATCTGATCATGTCAAAAACACTAGCTTTTTTCTATGCAACTCTGCATTAATTGGCTTTTTGTGCTATTATTTGCAATGCTTTTCATTTTCAAGACCCAAAGTTTACATGAAATGCTGTTTGCAACCCAATTTATCTACATCTGAGTGAAAGAGGATAGTCAATGAGAAAATCACAGGATGGGACTTGATTTTATCCATTGGGAACTGATTAGACTGTGAAAAATGGGTGTTTCTTACCAATAGAGCCATTTTTTCAAATTGTGTGCAAGGAATAATTGTTCAAAATCAGTAACACAAATCATGTATAAAAGGGAGTAAATCTTGAATTTTCTTTTTTAATTCAGAAATGGATGCAATATTCTCGTGTTTTTTTATATGCTGCCTGTCAATATACCTTTGACAATATAGTGTATTTTTTCTCAACTTTTTTATTATTTAGCTTTATCATAGTAATTTTTTGCTTTCAAAAGAGATAAATAGAAATGAATCATTGAATATACTTTAAGAAGGTTTTTATAATATAATACATTATTATGATGCTACACGTGTGAAAATAGGGACCAATGACTTCGAATCACATTTACGTGTTTATGCATCTCTAATGAGCCTCTATAACAGGGGTGCCCAAACTCAGTCCTGGAGGGCCGGTGTCCTGCAGAGTTTAGCTCCAACTTGCCTCAACACACCTGCCGGGAAGTTCCTAGTATGCCTATAAGTGCTTGATTAGCTGCTTCAGGTGTGTTTAATTGGGGTTGGAGCTAAACTCTGCAGGACTCCGGCCCTCCAGGACCGAGTTCGGACACCCCTGCTCTATAACATGTTGATTGCATCAGAAAAATAACCACTACACAATGCACTGAAGTGAAAAATATGAACATTATTTAATAACTGATTCTCTGTAATAAACAATTTGAAAATATTTTACAAGGAGTCACAGACACAATATTTTACAAATTTTCTTTTTTTTTGTTGTCTGTACAAAAAAATGGAGCAACATGGACCCAGAGACGAGGCACTGAGCCCCCAACACACAATCCAATAAACGAACGAAAGAAAAACGCTCAACATGATTTCAGACCTCAACTCATGAGTATTATCAGCAGTACTGTTTCTATTTTTTTTAAATCATTGATACATTTTAAAACCTCACTCATGTTAAATTGTTTCCTTTGTATGCTTTTTTTTTAAATATATATTTTTTTGTACACATTTGTCACGGAGCACCAGACTAAAGACTACGTAATCACATACACACGTCTCACTGATGGAAACGCGCCTACAATGATGTTGCTTTGGAGGGGGAGGGGCTAGGGGAGGGTCTGAGCTAATGACTCCTCCCAGTGGGCGGGTTATACATCAGGCCCCTCCCCTTGCGCAAGCTGCTTCCTCTTTTTAGCTTTTCTTTTTGAATACTATTTTTTTTCTCTTTTTTTTGGCAAAAGCAAATCTTTCAGACCACTTAAAAACAAGGACTTTTGTTCCACAGTGTACTTGGAATTGTGACACAAGACCGACACATTCATGATCATTTAATCGCAGTGTCTTGCCAAAATGCGTTTCCCTAATTAGGGCAGTTCAGTGCCCCTGTACATCGACAGTGTTCCAGTTTTAAGACAATTACACACTTTTCCCCCAAAAATATAATTAAAAAGAATGATTAAAAAAAAAAGTGTGGCAAAGTTTTAAAACAACTCACCAGAATAAAGAACAAGGCATATTTCCACTTTTCGGAGCGCTCTTTGCCCTGATATGAAATAAAATTGCAGATTGTTTCCATAATCAGGCAAAGAAAGAGGTACACATTAGCCATTTAACATGTTTCACCATTAAAATTGTGAGATAGAGGGATAGTTCACCCAGAAATTAAGATTATGTCATCATTTACTCACTCTCATGTCATTACGAACCATTTTTTTATGAATAACTTAAATTCTTCTCAGTGATTTGTAATATAGTTCACAAGACATATGGACAAGCTTTATGATATTTTTATTGAGCATTTATGTCCTTTTAAGAGCCTGAAAGCCCCCGGTTGCTATATGTTTTATGGTTTATATGAAAACACTTATATTTGCCTATTATTGGTTTTGGAAAAACTTGAGGGTAAGTAAATTATATTTTATTTTTGGGTGACCTATCCCCTTAAACTTCGCACATCATACTGAAGCTTAAACAGTCTTTTTAAAACTTGTTTTTTTGTTTGTTTTTTGTCTTATTACAGTACCACATATGACCTTGCACTTATATTTCAGAAATGGGGTTTTTCCATTTCTATGTCTCAGTAGGGTCTAAAATATATATTCATACTGTAGATGGATTCTGGGTTATAAACAGGAGTCATATGTGATAGTGTCAGGATGAGTGAGGATTGCATTCAAGTTCAAATATTAGTGATATGTACAGTCCACTGAATGAAGCTTAACATATATATTTTAATTTTCTCTATAACCAATTAGTTCTGAAGGTGGATGACAAACAAACCGAGTGGCGTAAGATTAGTTTCCACTAGCATCACACATGCATTTTCACCTCTCAAATAAGGCGAGTATAAAATACATGACATCCTGACAGAAAATAAATAATAGTTCACCCAAAATGAATTCTTATTTACTCTACCCTTGTGTCGTATGAGCTTCTTTCATTCATAAAACAAATGGAGATGTCCTTTCCATACATTTGTTTCCTACAGATGAAAGAATGTCATACAGGTCTGGAATGATATGAGGGTGAATAAATGATACAATTCGGGTGAACTAACTCTTTAAACAGACAGATAGAGGGAATGTTTAACATGTTAAGTGCTGTCTTTTAAAACTGCACAGGCGACTAAAACAGGCTTTAATAGATTTTGCCTCGAGACAGACAGATATGTAACATTCATTTGACACAGATCATTCCTTCAACACCAACAACTGACAATACTCTCAAAATACTTCTCATAAGATCATCTATTTTCACAGTTATTTCACATAACGGCAAACACAGATTCAACTCCTCAATCATCAGCAAACCTCAAATAAACTCTCGCTCTATTTACCGGACAAATAAACTACAGCAGTAATTGTGAAGCCAGAGATGGACTGAGGTTATGTAGAGCAGTCAGTTCAAACCCAACACCTACTTTAACAAAACTCAGTAGCAAGGATTGAATGCGTGAGAAGCTCTTACAAAGACAATCCTAAAAACGAGGGGCCATTTTTAAAAAGTCTTGCCAGGGAGCTTTAAAGGAGCACTGAAGGTGATGGTGACTAAAATGCCAAACGTGCAACTGAGAATCAGTCAGAGAGGTTCAGATTTAGCTCCGTTTGTTGACAAAATAAATGCATAAGGTGCTTGTCATAACTGAAGGTTATGGCAAACACTGCGGCTCAATAATACTCTAAATTTGCATTCCCTTATATCAGTCAGGTGACGATGTTTCGAGGCACTGGCTGCGTTCAGAATAGCATACTAACCATACTGGGTTTTCCAGATGTATAGAATAGTTGATGAGCAACTACATTTGTCATAATATGCATTACAATACATGCAATACTGAATACAGTAACCCACAATGCAATAAACTCAACTTGACCTGCCATTTCCAATGTGATGAATGACCGGAAGCAATATCAACTGTGATTATCTCAACTATTTCACTCTTGACGTGATTATTTAACCAGACATTTTTAAACAAACTTTGGTAAAATAAAAAATTGTCTTAATTGGCCGAGGCTAAACATGGTAAATATTGTATTAATGTGACCAGAACAAAGCATAAAAATGTTCATTAGTGAATATTAATGAGTATTTAAAAAAAAAATTGTATGAAGAATATAGTATGCAGTATGATAGTACTCTATGTCGAACACAACCTGTGAGTTTTAAGGCCCATGAAAGACTTTTCCTGCACTAAACTGACTGATAGCGAAGCTGTCCAATATAAAAGTGCATCAAGGCACAGCTAAAACAAGGTCGATGCAGGGCCCAAAACAAGGGATTTTGCTTAAGTTTCATCACATTATTAACATTTCAACATAAGATATAATGTCATGACTGATACCGAGGCCTGAAACATATTCAAGTATGCAAGCAGATGCAAATGCTTGAATTGCATCAATGTGTTATCGAACATTTAATCCAGCCTACATATCTACAGTAGATATGTTTGGGCCCTTATGTATATATGAAAAATAAAACATTTCTCTTCTACATGAATGATCATATTGACTAGGATCATGGTGACTATTACTATTCACAGACAAGTCCATCAGTGCAAATAATGGCGCAAACAAACAGCATGTGTTGTGATGTGATCAGATGCAATATATGATTGACATTCTGAGATTGTGAAAAACTGTACAGCACAGAATTACAGAGACTGCAAATAGATATCATCGCTAAAAACACTCAAACTGCATTTCAAGCCATCAAAAATCTCTTCATTATCCCATCTCATCTTATTTAAAGGAACAGTTCACCTAAATATGTTCCATTCAATAACACTTCACAGAGACCCCTCATGCTCCAAAAGAGAAATAAAAGTAGTCCATATGATTTATATGCGATAGTCCAAGTCTTCCGAAGCCATACGATAGCTTTTGGTGTATTCATCACACAAAACTATCATATGACTTTAGAAAACCTAATACAGACTGCTTTTGATGGACTTTTATGGAACTTTTTTTTTTTGAGCTGGAAATCATGGTCACTAACCTGATCCTTAAAAAAATTCTCATTTGGTGAAAAACTAACAGCATATGGGTTTGGAATAAATAAATGAAATAAAATAAATTACACATTTTTAGGTGAACTGGTCCTTTAAAAATGCACACATGCTATTACATATTAGCTGCAAATATTATATTACTGAGGCATTCATATAGTTTACCTTGTGATAAAAATAATAAACACAAATAAAAAGCCTAACCTAATCGGATCAGGGTTGTGATATCAATAGAAATAATAAATCTATGAAGCCCTTGTGACTGATGAAGGAATGGTGTGATACCTCTTTAATTTCTCTACTTTCTTTTTCTGTGGTTTTCTTACCTCCTAATTTGGCTAGAAAAATTAGACCACACAACAAGTCTCGTTTTGGCAAGAAGTAGATATAGTGCATAAATAAACAAAAGATAATTGAATAAATATCATCTATCGTCTTCTCTTTCTCGTTAAATACCCTAATATATGGAGGCATGTTTTTAATACTCACATGTTGTTATTGATATTTTTTGGGAATCGCTTAAAGTTCTGCTCTTATTCGGTTATTTTCTTATTACCGGAAGCTAGACGGCGTCAGAACGCCCCGTAGCCTCGCGACACGGGTTACAGGATGAAGATGAGGATGATGAGGATGACCTTTCCCCTTTAGAGGTGGAGTCAAACGAAACCAGACCCCCTTTCGGCCGCAAGGGCAGGAGGGAACAGTCCGTGTCAGTTTCCACCATTTCTTCGTTGGTCCAAGATGGCCGTTGGTGTTCACATCGCTAGCTTCCTGTTTTCGTAAAGACACTTTAAACTCCTCCCACAAATGCTCTTGATTGGCAGGAGACGACAATGTTCTGCAACGGTCACTAAGCAACAACCTGTGAAGCTAAGTGGATGAAGCAGTACGACTGGGCTTCCGTATAAGGGCAGGAGGAAGTCCCTTTATATTACTTATGACTAGAGCAACGGGGAGATAAAGGAGAAATTAAGGAGACGAGAAGGAGGGAGAGGAGGACAGGAGGATGGAGTTAAACAGAGGGGCGGGCCAGAACAAACAGGAGGAGGAGCTGAAGGAGGAGTAAAGTGAGGAGGGAGGGGCGGAACGAGTGACCCCGCCCACAGTCTGATGTGTTCTCCTGTAAGGAAGACAGAGAAACGTACGCTTTGGTTTATTAATGCGCTATTAATGTTCTGATGGGTTTAAATGCAGAATTGTGAAACTCGTATTTGTTTAGGCACATATTCTAAGTCTAATTATTCTTCAGTCAAAAATATACGTTGTGGTTATGCATTACTGATGTTATTCTTGTGGGCGGAGTTTACAGAGCTCATTATGCCATCCATAGACATTCAATTGTAAATATTCCGGAATATTTCTTTGAATAAACAAGTGGAAATGTGCATGTGTACTTACTAAAACACTGTAGTCGAAACAGCTCGTGGTTCCTTTTCTATACCGGGCTGTGGCTACTGTCTCGCATGTATTCGTTTCTTTATCTGAGAAACAGAGGGCATTAAGGAACATCTTTTTAGCAAATTTGGGGTTAGTATGTTTTTTATGTCTTATATGTTTGTTCAGGAAGAAGGCATTACTTTGATCGAAAGTGACAGTAAAGCCATTTATATTGTTACAGAATGTTCCTATTGCAAATAAAAGCTGTTCTTTTGAACTTTCTATTCATCAATAAATCCTAAAAAAAACTATTTATCACAGTTTATACAAAAATATGAAGCAGCACAACTGTTTTAAGCACTGATAAAAAAATATGTTGCTTGAGCATCAAATCAGCATATTAGAAGGATTTCTGAAGATCATGTGAGACTGAAGTAATGATGCTGAAAATTCAGCTTTGATCACAGCAATCAATTACATTTTAACATATATTACAATAGAAAACAGTTATTATATTAGTACACATCTAAGTTGTTTTGTATTTTTGATCAAATAAATGCATCCAGATATGTTGCTTGAGCATCAAATCAGCATATTAGAAGGATTTCTGAAGATCATGTGAGACTGAAGTAATGATGCTGAAAATTCAATTACATTTTAACATATATTACAATAGAAAACAGTTATTATATTAGTACACATCTAAGTTGTTTTGTATTTTTGATCAAATAAATGCATCCATCCCCAAACTTTTGAACAGCAGTGTACATTGCATCAAATTAAAACCTATGCAAGAAATGCATGTTTATGGCAAAGGATACATTCTGTCTCCACCTGAGACAGTTTCTCTATTTCACAGGAGTCGCAGGACAGTTTTTCAGCCACCACAAACAGCAGGTTGGTGTTGTTTATTCTCCTAGCATGAATTAACCTGTAAAACAGACACATTATTATTAAAAACAGCCTGTAGTCTGTATATATGTGATGTATACTGCCTGCATGACTGCCGTGGGTCTGACCTGGAGCAGTTGTCACAGTCCTGCAGTATGTTGTAGGAGCTGCTGATGTTACTGAAGTAAAACTGTGTCTGTACGGTCACACAGCTGGTCGCTCTAGACTCCAGTCCTTCAGCATCCACCTCATCTGTATTCACACACACACACGTTAGATTAGTCTTCTTATTGATTTACTTAAACAATGACCTTTTAAAATCGAAGTAAACCTCACACACCTGTCATGAACCAGCTCTGATAGGCAAACCCATACAGCATCTGTTGCAGCAGTGACCTATAGAGGACAACACACACACACACTCCTGAGTGTGAGCACATTATGTCTGCACATGTTTAAAAGCTACTACATCATTGAGCTCAGTCATTATAATTGACTCACCAGGCAGCTGCTGACGTCCACCAGGCAACATTTAACACATCAGCAATAGTAGGCTGAGAGGAAACACATGACATTTGATCATGCCACAGTTCATCATCCGTCCAAATACACACCTACCCCATACACACATCTCTTTATCATCTTTCCATTTATTCATCCCTCAATCCAATTCAGTCAGTTATTTTAGTATTATTTATATACTATTATAGTAATTATTAATATTTTAAATGACCTTTTATTTATTTCAGTGAATGAAAATGACTTTTAATAGTTGTAATTTTACTTAACAATAACACAGCATTGTGTAAACCAATCCAATTGCAGATTTCTAATGTACTGTTTATATGCAATGATTCAAATATGAATTGTATGTGCATTTATATCCATCACAGGCAAAACATAAGTGCATGCACATGCACAGTGCATAAGAATAGCTGATATCCAAAATATGTTGAAAAAGCTTTTTAGCAAAGTAAAGACATTTAGATTTACATATTGCATTGCCTTTAATTAATTCCCTACAGTTTCTTTACATGGTCTTAAATTAGCTTCAGAAAAACTGCAGAAACCCTGGCACTGCACACGTGCAAAAAGTGTTTATGCATTCAATTACAATAGTAGTCAGGGTTAAAAGTTTACATAGCTAATATTTTCATATTTAACGTATCGTTTAAAATCAATACCAGCCCTTTCAATCAGATTTCATTTGGATTTATTGAGGTGTCCGATTGAGATTCAAATCGTATTATTAGGATGCAAGTAAGCGTAGGCATTACTCGTACCACAAACACTCCTCGCGGGGCGGCCCCTGTGTTGCTGCTGGGCACCGGGTCACACACCGACTGATAGTCGTAAGACTGCTTGCGTTTGTAGAAGGAGTTGTTATAGAGGGCGTAAAAGAGGGTGGCATCGACCTCGCCGAAGAACATCCCGATCTACAGACAGAAGTGGAAGAGCACAGAGTGAAAAACAGAAGCAAAAACGGTCTGTTTTCACATCACTGTTTTCCTGTTGAACGTCCTGACCTTATTCAAGTAGTCTTTCTGATTGGACATGACGAGGAAGCCGCCGTCATCTATCAGATAGCAAAGCAAGTCCTGCGAAGAAAGACGGATGGCTTTAAGTAAACACATCACGTCATTAATCAGTCATTTTAATGGAAATTCACTAGATCAATCGACAAACTCTGAAAAGAGGGATGGATGTGAATGTATGGATGTGTGCTATAGATCTCAGTATTGACTGATCTGAGTGCAGTAAGAGTCTCTTACATCACTGTTGGCTTCACAGTCCATTTCACAGCCACTGGTGGGTCCACACTGTCAGACAGAAGCAACAGTATTAGAGCAGCTTGTGTATAGGCATACATTTATAGAAGAGGGTGTGTATTTTACCGTTTGAGAGCTCTGTCGGTTGCTGTTGGTGTGGTTGCTCGCCAGGATCTTGAATTTGTCTGTCCATGCCTCAAGATCAAGCTTCACACCCAGAACTAAGAGAATGCAAGACAGAAACAGAATGAGAAAGAGAAACCCTAAAACCTTTATGGTCTTTACCATTTCAGAATTTTCCACCTATCTTACAATTATAATGCTTTTGCAGCTGTTCCCTTTACATAAAAAATAACTGTGATAATGTGAAATATTATTACAATTTAAAATAGTTTTCTGTTTTGATATATATATATCAAATATATATATATATATATATATATATATATGTTTAAAAACTATATTCAATTCAATTCAATTCAATTCAAGTTTATTTGTATAGCGCTTTTCACGATACAAATCGTTGCAAAGCAGCTTTACAGAAAATTAAGTTTCTACAATATACCGTATTGACCCGAATATAAGACAATGTTTTTTTCTTGGAAATACATCTGAAAAACCCTTATTTTCAGGGTTTAGACTTTGACATGTCAATAATACACCCACAACAATAGGTGGCGCCAAATACGCATAAAACGATTGTGCCATGAAATAATTTATGTCTGTGATGCAAAGCTGATTTACTCCAACCTCCAGTGCCACATGATCCTTCAGAAATCATTCTAATATGCTGATTTATTATCAATGTTGGAAACAATTTAGCTGCTTAATATTTTTTTTTTGGAACCAAGGATTTCAGGATTCTTTGACTAATAAAAAGTTCAAAAGAACAGCAGTTATTCAAAATAGAAATCTTTTATCAACAAATACAATAATAAAAAGATTAATAAAATGATGTATAACATACATATGCCATACAGCGCAAAGCATTTCTGATTTGTTTAATTTTCAACCTAATCTGTGTTGTCATCTACATAAGTTAACTTTGGTGACACATTTACATCAACATAATTCAGGTTGACTTTTCAACAATGTTCAGAGCAGATGCATACAGATGCATACAGCAGCACTTATCTCTGCTAATCCTCATGTCAGGTAATCCTAACGTAACGCGATGATCATGAGCTCAGTGAGGAAGCACAGCATATCACTGTCGATTTGTAGAGGTTTAAGTCAAATATGGCTAAATGTCTCTGGATTTATTATATTGAGAGAGCTCATGTATTCAAACTCAGCTGCTGACCGTCTATTAGTTATAATGAAGTTCTTAACATATTGATTTATCATCTCAAATCCCACATCTTGTCTTCATTTGTGCACGTAAACGTGCCATTTGTCTGATTCAAAGGGCCTCCATGTGGACCCTATCTGTTGTTCATACTAACACTCAAATAATTCCAGTTTGTCACCAGACAATTTGTTTCCCCCAGAAAGGCAGACATCTGCACGAGTCACATACAGTGAACATGAAGTTGCGTTTTACCTGCAGGTTTCAGGTTTTTGTTTCCTATGGTCACCTCCACTGCAGTGCTAACCAGAATGCCGATGGTGTCGTTCTCTGGATTCAGTATGGATTCATCATTGGCTGGACAAAAAAACAAAACAAAAAAAAGCAGCTCTTGAAAACTATTAAACCATAAAATGAATATTATATAAATGATACTGTAATTCCTAAAACGATTCTAATTGGATGAGCTGAGTTTGGTAAATGAATCAAAGAATGGAAGAGTAGTGTATTCTGCTAATTAATTATATTCAGATAAACATGAAGTTGCGTTTTACCTGCAGGTTTCAGGTTTTTGTTTCCTATGGTCACCTCCACTGCAGTGCTAACCAGAATGCCGATGGTGTCGTTCTCTGGATTCAGTATGGATTCATCATTGGCTGGACAACAAAACAAAACAAAAAAAAGCAGCTCTTGAAAACTATTAAACCATAAAATGAATATTATATAAATGATACTGTAATTCCTAAAACGATTCTAATTGGATGAGCTGAGTTTGGTAAATGAATCAAAGAATGGAAGAGTAGTGTATTCTGCTAATTAATTATATTCAGATTATATATTTTATATATAAAAAATATAATTAATAAAATATAATGTAAAGTAAAGGCACCTACTATATGGTTAGGGTTAGGCTTACTTGCATGTAATTATGCATAATTAATTGTAATTATTATAGTAAGTACATATATATATGAAGAGCTTATTTGCAAAAACAGATAACTTTGTTTTTTCAAATGTTCAAAAATCATGTTTTTTATGATGTTATGTTTTTATTGTGTTAGTTAGCTGTATTTTTTGTTATTTTTTAACCTAATCAAAATAACCCAACTAACCCAACCCAATGCACAATGAAAAAACATGATTTTTGAAAATGGTTAAAAAACGGAGTTATACGTTTTTGCAAATGAACTCTTCATATATATATATATATATATATATAATATTTATACAAATTATTTTTACTTCAATATTTTTTTCTTCAAATTAAATATATTATTTCAATGACACTTTACATTGTGAAAACATTGCCTCAGAGATCATTATATGAGGGTATAGAGTGTGCAGTCATGTGCTGTGTTTCTCTCTCACCGGTGCGGTAGGGGGCTCTGAACACGTAGCCCTTGTTGTCCAGACTGCGACGGTAATAACTAGCAATAAACGGCTCTGGATCTTCCTCCCAGGTCTCATAGGCCCTGATGTACAAACACACACACACACACACACACACACACACACACACACACACACACACACACACATTTACAGCTATTTGAAACAACACAGTGACAAATAAAAGAAAAAGAACAAGACTCACTTATTAGGGAAAACTCGAGTGACGCCTCCATCTGTGGCTGCAAAGACCGCCATAAAGCCGTACCTACAGCATCATAACACACATACTCATTCACATTTATCACTAGCTCTAGGATAATGTCTCATAAACGTGTCAGTCTACTGATGAATGGGAGGAATTTCAGTGGTTCTTCCTGAATATGAACATACGTGTTGAGGTCCTTGTTCTTCCAGACTTTATCTACCAGCTCTTTAATGATGCCCGTGTCCAAGATCAGATTATGCAGCAAGAAATTGTCACCTGTGTGGAATAATGATGATAATATTATGACATATGAGCTGATATCTTCAAACAAGATGGTTTTGAGTTCAAGAACTGTCAAAGAGAGAGTCAGAATGTCAATTACAGTCAGTGTTGTTATTGTTATATATATTTGGTGAATGAAATAAAGTCAAAATAAGTATAGAAGTATAGAATATAACATTTAAATATGACATGAAAACCTTAAAGGGGTCATATGATGCGATTTCAAGTTTTCCTTTCTCTTTGGAGTGTTACAAGCTGATTGTGCATAGATAAGATCCCTGAAGTTGCAAAGACTAAAGTCACAAAACCAAAGAGATATTCTTTATCAAAGTTAAGACTCTGCCACGCCTACCTAAAACGGCTCGTTCTAACACGCCCCCACATATCTACCTCACTATGTGGAAATATTTGCATAATGCGGCCCAAATGTTCACGCAAAGAAAGAAGGCGTGGTTTCAGTAACCGCAGTTAGTGTTGAAGCAGCATGTCAGGGAGACGCTGTGTGTTTCTAGACGAAAGCAAAAGCACTTTATAAATAAGCTTCTAAATTAGGAAATTAGAAATGTTACCTTGGCAACTAACTGAAATAAGTTGAAATAATAAAATGACTAAAATGAAAATAAAATTACAAATTAATAAAAAAATTAAAAGCAATAAAAATGACAAAAGCACATAAGATAATTACTAAAACTTCTATAGATGCTTGACATACTCTGTATTACAGTATAATTATGTATAGAGTATGTTTATTAATATATTGATTATGTTTTTTAATGCATTTTAAATTTAGCTTGTTTAATTTGATTAATTTTTTTTATTATTTTTTATAAATTAAGCAAAAAAACAAACAAAAACAAAACAAAACAAGAAAATTACTAAAACTTAAACTGAAATTCAAATAAAAACTACCTTAAAAAAAAGAACTGCTTTATTAATGCTTCAAGGTTGTCTCAGCTGGTCTTGTAGCGCAGTGTTCGAGCTAAAACCCACAGACCTGTTCAGACCAGCATGGCTGGTTTAAGATGTTCTTTTTAGCAGGAACATATGACATTTGGATAACACTCAACTGATTGTGCAATGAAAATTACTGACAGAAAGTACTTTAAAATGGAACAAAGTCGTTAAATAATTCACTCAAAATCTGTGAGCCTCACATTGTTTGGAGTCTGGCGTGACCTTCTCCATCAGAGCGATGAAGTTGAGCAGGAACTCTGTGTTGTTGTTAGACAGCTCCAGGTCTTTGCAGTATTCCCTGAGGAAAACACACATCATTCCACACTGGAAAACTCTCTCTGATAAAGATTAACATCATAAATAGACTGTAAACCCTTAACAGACAGTCAGAGTTTTGCATTGACCAATATTTCACATTCATGTAAACATCTTAAACACACAAAACACCACAATGACATACATAAAACATAACTGCAGTCCAAAAATGATTCTTAACCAGTATCTTTGTCTAGTTTTCCAGTAAAAATACCTAAACATCCTTAAAACAAGACAAATCTAACAGAGTAACACTGCAGTGCATTTAGTCTAAAACATACACTGTATAAAAGCTGGAAGTTGTAAACAAAACAAACACTACTTCTAAAGGAAACACTATTTCAGTTTTTCTACTTTAAAATTTCATGCGCAATTCAATGTGTTATTTGCAGTTATTCTGTAATTATTTCTAGCAATCTTTGAGTGAATATTGTTTTAAAGTAAATCCTACACTTTTTTAAAAGTCATAATTATTGCAATTTTACTTCTCAGGTAAATTCATCTTGTTCAGGGATGTTTAGATGTTTTTACTGGAAAACATAACAAAACTACTGATTTTGGAGTGTATATGCTTTATAAACACAGAGAGAAAGATGATCATTCATAGACTCATGCACGTGAACTTCTCTAGATCCATGCAAACCAAAGTCAACCTTCCCCTTGATACTGATGCCGTATGTAAGGAAGTGAGGAGAACGCCATGCACACACAGACACAGAGGAGACGTGTGAGAGCTGCAGCGATGAGATGTGGAGAGAATCTACTGAACGTCAGAAGATACAGATCCATGAGAGCAGACGACAATGATTCAAACACAGAGTTACCCAGAGGAATATATACTGCTCAGCTTGCATAGCATGGCTTTCAGATACGCTTCAAGTATGAACATTATCTTTGTGTGCCTTTAAATTGTTTAGGAAAAATACAAAGTTGATGTACAGTTAGAGTACAGAACTATAACATTTGAGTATATTTTAAAATGACAGTAACTCTGAAACTAAAGGAGACATGTGTGATTATATAAGATTATTGGTGTCTGGAGTTTTCCAGGTTCAAAACTAAGTATGCTTTATCAGCAGCTTTCTCATTACCACAGAAAATATGATCAACTTGTTGCTCAAGTTTGTAAAAACAAACAAAAATCACATTTAAAATAATATATTAAGAATGGTTTAAAAAAGTTTATCAGGCCAGACATTGCATTGCATTGTAGGTTTTGCTACCATTGTAATTTACAACTACACCTAAAAAATAATTTGTCAAAATGATAAAATAAGAGTATGTTTTATAAGAAAATACTATCTCAGTTTTTCTACTTCAAAGTTTCACATGTAATGTTACTTGCCTTTTTTAATTATTTGTCAAATTTCCTATCAATTTTTTCTATTTTGTCAAAGTACTCATTTAACACAGTATTTAAAAGTATTTAATAGAGCGCATAGGCTACTAGATAACTAGAAGAAATCAAATAGACCCTTCTGAATACAGTATCTGGGCTGGCGCCGGTTCCACTGTCAGTGAAATACTGTACACATATTGCTTGTTCATATAAACAGAGCAAAACTATTTTCTGTGGAAATCAAGCTTTACAGTTTTAAAAACAAAGGTTCCTTTTTCATTTTTTGTCAGTGCCTTTAAAGGAAGTTCTCACCCTCAGGCCACCAAAATATAGATGAGTTTGTTTCTTAATCCACACCACTCCAGTTTATCAATTAACATCTTGTGAAGTGAGAAGCTAAGAAATAAATCCATCAAGTTTTTTAACTTCAAACTGTTGTTTCCAACTAAAATACCACAATCCATAGTCCATAATCCATAAAAACGGTTCCTCCGGTAAAAAAGTAATCTTGTCTGAATCAGGAGAGAAATATGCACAGATCAAGCACCATTTACACCCCAATACATTCCAAAACAGTTCTAAATAAATATGTCAGTGGATTTTAATGCGAGAGAACAACAGGGAATGGATTTTTTTTTACTGAAGGAAGTGTTATTATGGATTATGGATTCGTATTTTGGCCAGAACCGACGGTTTAAAGTTAAAACAGCTTAATGATGAATTACTTTCTTATTTCATAAAACATTAATTGATGGACTGGAGTGGTGTGGATTATTGTGATGTTTTTATCAGCTGTTTGGACTCTCATTCTGACGGCACCCATTCACTGCAGAGGATCCACTGGTGAGCAAGAGATGCAATGCTACATTTCTCCAAATCTGTTCCCATGAAGAGACAAACTCATCTACATCCTGGATGGCCTGAAGGAGAGTACAGCAAATTTTCATTTTTGGGTGAACTAATCCTTTAAAGAACCATTTTGGTTCACCAAAGAAGCTTTCAGCAAACAAGAAAAATTTTTCTTAGTATGAAGAACATGTTAAAAATCCAAAATCCAATTTGACCACTATAAAGAACCTTTTGTTGCACAGAAAGATTCCATGGATGTTGAAGCTTCTTCATGGAACCATCAATGCCAACAAAGAACCTTTATTTTTAAGAGTGTACATGTGATGAACCCAGAACACTAAAAGTCTCCATTTGCTCTTAATGCTGTCTAGGAGATATTAACAAGATTTTTCTTTCCTACGGGTGACGGCGAGGAGTCTCGACAGACAAAACACAACAAATAAACACATCCACTTGGGTTAAAATGGAAAGACACGTTACACACAGCACACACACAGAGACTACAGTGACTACGGTATGTTGAAAAGGAAGTTAGCAATGGACGTATGCACGAAAACAGGAACGTGGCTTCAAGAAGACACACACAGCTACCTGGGGGCAATGAACACATGTCCCTCTGACTCAAAAGTGTTTGGCAGGAGAGACTCAAAATCTGCAACAGAAACGGGCAAGATTATCCAGGGGAAGCGGAGGACGCAGAACACAGGGAGGCTTCTGAGAAACAAATGAACATCAGCTGCTCTTCAAAAAGTGTTACCATAGCAACACTGAGGAATCATGGGGGAATACCAGCGTTAGCCACTATGGTGCCTTCAACGGAGTCGCACTGGCCGAAATAATGGGCTAATTTGGAAAGCAGACACTTTTAGCTCGATTCGAATTTCGTCCGAATTCCGTTCTTTTGCAAGTCGGAGAACTGGCTCGCCCCTCGGGATACACACTGAGACGAAGCGAGTTCCCCGACGCCGTTCCCACGAACTGCGTGGCGTGCCGCTTTCTTTTTCAACAGGCATCAACATGGCCAACCGTTTAGCTGGGAGTGGGTGAGGCAGGGGTCCTGATGGAGGTGATCGCCCCTCAGACTGGCACCGCAGAGCCACTCCAGAGACTCAATCGGAGAAAGTACCCAGCATTGTGGACGAGAAGAGAGAGGGCAACCCAGTTTGATCTACTACACACTATCCTCATGAATGAGATCCTGATTTCAGGGTGCTGATTCCAAAAATAGTGCCTGTTTTGCTTCAGCATGTGACACTTTCTTACAAAATATGATGCATTTTGTAGCATTTTTGCTTTTGACAAGCATTTCTAAGGCGAAGAAGTCCTTAATCAACAGACAAAAGACATGATATCTTACAACTTATTGTTCAATTCTCAGTAAATTTTCACATGTATTACATTATTTTATGGCTAATCCTGATTTCAGGGTTAGAATTATGGCCAGTGGCAGAAGAAAATGCAAACATGAGCCAGATATACGGGTGTTTTACTATATCCAAACTGTGACAGAAAATGACAGATTATGTGAAAAAGCTCATGTTCTTTGAAATCAAATGAAGTATTTGAACATATTTCTCCACTCCTTTGCATACTGTAAGTTAAATGATACATTTTTTATACTTATATTTGTCATTAAAACCGAAGCATTTGACTGTATTTATATAGTATGAAAAAAAACAATGTGATTTTTATTGATATTTTGAACTCGGCATCATCAAATTAGGTAATATTAGGCTTTTTTTGCAAATCAGCAGAATTTGTTTTCAGGATGCAGGGCTGTGTTGTTTATGACTTGATATTCGACAAATAATGATATAACGAAAGTATACAAGCAGCAAATTTTGCATATATGTGTGTATACATGTACATTTTTGTATTCAATAAATGTCCATGTGAATATATGTACCCAATAAATATCTACGGTAATATATGTATCACTGTTGTGCCCAGGTAGTTTTTCCCTCCACACTGTCTTGCACTTCCAGGTCAGGATAAGTGAAGATGCAGCGGAGCGTCTGCGGTGGCAGTCTGGGGGGTGATAGATGTACAGAGGGGTCAAGCTGATGAGAACACAGGGTGTAAGAGGAGGACGACAAACAAACCGGGCGCTGCCAAGTGCTCCATCACCAAAACAACAAGAGAGGACCTAAAGGAGGCCATCTAGCAAATTCATCTGTAACCTATTCCTGTCCATTCCAAAACATTAAACGAATAGCAAGAGACAACCTAAGGGAATAAACTGGCTGGCTAAACTAAAGACAACATTGCATGATAATAGACATCTTTAAGTCTTTAAGTGTTAGAGGCTAACCAACATTTCTGCTCAATATTTAAGATTTAATGCAAGAGATTGGACAAAAATAAAAATTCAAGATCATTTATTCACCCTCAAACCTATATGGTGCACAACAGGAAATGTTTTGGAGGATGTTCAAGCTGCTCTTTTCTATTCAGTGAAAGCATATAGTGATCAAGGGCACATTGTAACTGTTAACTAAAACTAGTAGCCACATTTTAATCCAGACTAAAAAGTGTTTAGCTGTGCATTTACTGTATTTCTACTGATTGCACTGTAACATAACGCATTTATGATTTTTTTCTTTTATTCTTATTTGTTTTTATTACTTTTTAGTACATTTAAAAAAAATGTATTGTCAATTTTTATTATTTCTTATGCATGTTATGATTATTTAAAATTGTATTTGTTATTTTTAATTCCTTTGTAAGTCACTTAGAATTACCATTGCATATGAAATACCCTAATAAATAAAAGTACCTTGGCTTAAAACTCAAACTATTTCAAATGTCTTTGTTCATTTAAATAGAGCTGAAATAAAATAAAATATATATTGAAATACTGAGATTACTAAAGCTAAATTAAAGCTGAATAGAAATATTTAAAAAACAAAACAAAAATGAATAAAAATGTCAAAAGCACATTAACAAAGTGACTTATTTTAAACTAAAATGAAAATGAACATATAAAAAAGGAACGTATACAAATTTAAATATATATATAAAAACAATTAGAACATTAAGAAATACTAAAATAGTATATAAATAATACTAAACTAATGCCTAAAAATTACCATAATAGAGGTTCATGTCACTTTTGAGTTATATATATATATTTTTCTCATATGATGCAAGTCATATGACACTTTTGTGGGTAATGAATTTTTAAATAACCGATTACTAAAAAGTCTTAATGATTTTGGTTGGTTCTTCACACAGAGCTTTTATATTGCTTTAAAAGACTTGGAACATAGCACACAAGAATGAACTATGTTTTGGAATACATTTACGGTGCTTTTTTAATATTTTTGGATATTGACAGGCACTATATACTTTTGCAAAATACATTATTTTGTGTTTAATGGAAGAAAGTCAGTCAAATGATTTTGGAACAAAATGAGGGAGAGTAAATGATGAGTTTTCCTTTTTTGGTAAACATTTCAGAACAAACAGACAATGATATGCTACACTCAAAGTGCAAACATAACCTCTCAATAACGACCACAATAAGTTCATATCTGTACCTCCGTAATAATAACTTGTATTAGTGAAAGTCTAAAGTTTACTTTAGGGATGCTTTCAAACTAAATACTGCATCTACATGACTAGAGTAGGACTTTTACTAGCAAATGCCCCAATCTGAGGATTTAACACTGTCACTGAGGAATAAAGAGGGGAGGAGGAGGAGAAGACAGATGGAGGAGAATATTCCCAAACGTAATGGACACAGGGATCAGAAATACGTTTGACAGTGAGAGAAAGAGCATATTTTATTCTTCTTCAGGATATGTCAGGGAGAGACCTTAAAGGCTGTCCGAGCCGAGTAAGAGAGAGAGAGTGAGAGAGAGAGAGAGAGAATTTGAAAAGGAGAAAGATGTGGGTGTAGGCCGCAGCAAGAGGGTGAGTGGGTGAGTGAGGGAGTGAGGTAGAGGAGGAGAGAGAGGAAGAGGAGGGTCTTGAAGGCAAGGCGGGCAAGAGGAACAGAGGAGGCAAGCAGGCTGGAACAGGTGGAGGTGGGCGTCAGCAGGGAGTTCAGGACAAGGGTACGAGGAAGGAAGTAGAGTAACAAAGGTAGTGGACCAATATGGTGTATACTTGCCCTTGAAGACTGATCCGTCTGAGGAGGAGAGAGCAGAAAAGAAACAGGGCGGGACGGGTAAGGGGAGGAGGGGGGTCACAGACAATATTTTATTCAATGACTGTTTGAATAAAAATATTGTTTTTCTCAAAAGAAGGAAAATCAAGTCAGTCATAACAGTAATGAACAACTGAGAACAGGAAACCAAAATGAATGACACGTCGCAAAGAATATAGCAACAAGAAGACGGAGGCAGGGAATGAACTCCACGAGGACGGAGACGAGGAGAGAACATCTGAGGACACGTGAGCAGAATCAGAACTAATGAACCTTCACCGCATGACGAAACATGGAGAAAAATTATATGTCACAAAATGAGAATCACATATGAGCTAGGAAGAGAGGAACGCTTTGGAAATAAAAAGATAGAAAGAAAGAAAGAACTAAATTTTAAACCAAAGAGGAATGAAAGCATAAACAAAATGCAACAAAAATAAAATGAATGAAAGAATGAACTTCAGACTTGAATGAATAAATAAATAAACAAATGAAAAACACACAAAACAACAAACTAAAGGTCAAACTAACAAAAGAACTAGAAGAAACAATAAACAAAAAGGAACAAATGAACAAATGAACTGAAATAACAAACAAAATTCACAAAAGAATAAATTATATATATAAAAACAATAACTAAAACCAAAAAGAATGAATATGACATGTGAAAGAACTACAATTAAACTAAAGAACAAATTACAGAAAGAAAGAGGGGGAGAACTGTAAGAGATATAAATGAATCAAATGAAAAAGATGGAAGAATAAACAAAAGAGAAACAAACAAATAATAGAGAATGAAAGAATGGCACAAAAGAAAAGGATCAAACCAAGAAGGAACAAAAGCAATAAAAACAAAATAAAAAAATGAACAAAATAATGAACAAGTGAAAAATACACAAAAACAGACTGAAGAAAAAGAACGAAAGAACAAACTAGGGATCAAATGAACAAACAAATAATAACAAAAATGCAAACAAAAGCGATAGAATGAAAGATCAAATGAGCAACATCAAAGGAAAAGCAGAAAAACAACTAAAGATCAAACAAAAGAACTAAAGAACAAATAAAACAGAAATAAAGAACAAATTAAACAAATGGAAGAGAATAAACATCATATGAAACACAAATAAACAATAGAGATTGACTACAACCAACAAATGACCTAAAGATCAAATGAATGAACTAAATACAACATAAATAAACAAAGAACAAAGAAAAACAAACAAAAAACAAGGAAAGAAAGGAAAACCAAAGGCGTTCCATCTCCTGTGCGGGACAATGGCCCGTCAGGGGGCATTGTGGGATACTTTTTTAAAAATGTATTGACTGATTCCAAAGCTGCCGGCAAACAATACAGCACAGTGAGCATCCACACGAATCAAAGCAAATAACAAACACGACAGAACACATAAAGCACACAGTGAAAAGCAACAGCATGCCTCTTTTCACATCTCGCTAACGAAAACAAAAACACAAAACCTGTCCAGACAAAAGATGCTTCAGAATCGTCATTGTGAGAGAGAAGATGAGAGCATTTTTTAATGTTTCGGCAAAAGGAAAAATAATAGCACATGGTCACCATTATTTTCAACTCAGTAAACACAGTAAAACCACAGCTTTCACCTCTCTGGTTTTTAGTGAGGGTTTTTTCTTTGCATCCGTGCAGGGAAAGAAAAATCACCTCATTACAGAACAGCATGAGGACAGGAGGGAAGAGGGAAGAGGTGGGGTGGGGTTTCACAGAAGAACACATCCACTCTCGCTTTCCCGGGAATCCACGCTCGGACCCGACGCTGCTGTGATGTCAGAGAAAGGGGGAGGGGCTTCCGTTGATTGGACGAGAGGGGCGGGAGGGGGGAACAGGAAGTCTCTTTGGGAAGAAAGAAAGGTAAGAGGGCTTCGCGTTAGCCTGCCCTTGGTACTTACACTGGACCTGGAGGATCTGGTCGCTCAGGTTGGCCTTGATGTGGTTTTCACTGTAGGACGGCAGAACTAAACCGAGACTGCGAGGAAAGAAAGCAAGAATTTTAACATAATTTGCATATGACCACATCTGGCACTTTCTAGGATACAAACTAACAACCAATCACACTTTTTTAAAGCAAGTATCTCATGTTAAAACCAAAGCATGAAATGTTACTGCATTTAATGTGTACACTTTCTTATTTATTTTTATTCAGTGCAACTATCTAAACATTCTTAAATCAGCATACAATTACTTGAGAAGCAAAATGACTTAAGATATTAAGATAATAAGTCTATTCTGAAAAAAATTAAAACACTGCCAAAGGGTAAGGAAAATAAACTTTAAGGAAATACAAGATTATTTTTCTTACCCTGCTGGCAGACATTTTTTCTTGTTTTAAGCAAGAACTAAATTTTGATAATTTTTTTTAGAAAACATTATGTAACTTGATCCTTTTAGACTTGCACTCAATTCATTTACTAACTGCTTGTTTTCTTTAAAAGTTGTATTTTTATTTATTATACAATTAACAAAAGCAAAAAAGGCCCCTAACACTAGCTTGCTCTATTCTTTTTCTATTCTGTCTTCTTTTTATTTATTATATAATTGAAAAAACTTTGCTACGTGTACTGCGTTAAGCTAACTGAGACTTGTTAAAGCACTTGCATATCATTGCTCTTTTGTTGATTTTGATTGCTTCCATTGTGCACATTTGTAAGTCGCTAAATGACTAAAAGTAAATGTAAACTTTGCTTCTTAAGTAAATGTATCTTGATAGATTTAAGAATGTTTAGATATTTGTACTGGAAAATGAGAAAAATACTGTGTAAGAATTTTATTCAAATATATTTATATTCAAATACTGTTGTATAATACACACACACACACACATATATATATATATATATATATATATATATATATATATATATATATATATATATATATATAAATTCTGTGTTTTTCTGTCAATATGGGGTGCTGTGTGTACATTAATGAGGAAAAAAAAATAACTTAAATGATTTGAGCAAATGGCTGCAATATAACAAAGAGTGAAAAATTTAAGGGGGTCTGAATACTTTCCGTACCCACTGTATATATATATATATATATATATACTCACACACATAGAAAAATTCTACTTTTCACACGGTTGCAAAGACCACTATATTACAGAGAGAAACTGCTGATACAGTTTCATCTACTGAGGTGGATGAACAAGAATAAAAAAGTGTTTCAAGCCCTATTTTGCGCTTTATTCATAGACATTACCATGCACAGAAGATGCAAATTCATTGGAATAATTATTAATTTCCAAAATGCCCTGCTGAAAAGATCAATTTAGAGAACCTAAACTGCTAATGTTGGCAGGTTACGGATGCCAATTAAAATTCATGACTCATTTCAACAAAACTGCATTGAATGTTTTACAGTCTAAACTTAAAATAGCAAAGAGTATGTAGAGAGAGAAAGTGACTGAAAGCAACAGAAATGCAGTCTGAAAGAGTGAGTGTGTCATATTGACCTGTAATCTGTGCCCTCCACTGGACTCCATATGTATGTCCTCTGGACCTCATCAATGTAACGCTAAAAACACACACACAAAGAGCAGCACATCACCAACCAGCCATAAGATCATCACACTGTATGCCATTATATCTAATAAGAGGTCATGTGGCTCACCTCATCCACAGACTTCACCAGTGTCCTGATTCTCCTCTGTCCTGCTCTGCCATCAATCATTTGACGGCGGATCTACAATAAGAAAAAAACAAGATAATACTTGGATTGTAAACACATTGAAGGGATTTAAAGATCATTTCAAATCAAGCTATGACTTTCTCAAGTCGCTGTAAAATTTTCCAGGTACACTACTGTTCAAAAGGTGAGATTTTTTGAGGTTGGTAATGTTTCTTTGAATGTTTTTGTCTTTTATGCTCACCAAGGCTTCATTTATTTGAGCAAAAATACAGTAAAAACAGTGATACTGTGAAATATTATTACAAATTAAAGTACCTGTTTTCTATTTAAATATATTGTAAAATGTAATTTATTTGTGTCATGCAAAGCTGAATTTTCAGCATCATTATTTCAGTGTCACATGATCCTTCAGAAATCATTCTCACATGCTGATTTGCTGCTCAAGAAAAAGTTCTCTTTTTTTTCAGTGTTGAAACCAGCTGTGCTGCTTGACATTTTTGTGGAAAATGTGATACATTTTTAATTTCAGGATTCTTTGATTAATAGAAAGTTCAAAAGAACAGCATTTTATTATTTATTTAAATGTTTTGTAACAAAATACATGTTATTTCTGCCACTTTTGATCAAATTAAAGCATCCTTGCTGAATAAAAGTATTAATTAAAAATCTTGATCCCAAACAAGTGGGTAAGTGAATTAGGAATTTTGTTCCAAGACCAAAAAACGCTCTTCATCCAGAAGCACGTCCTACTTAGCTAAACTCGGCCATGTTGTCTGATGAGTAATTTAATGACATTTTAATAATATATTTGGCACATTTGCAAGGATAACTCATTGTAGAGATGTTCACCTCCTCCTTGTTGCGATCTGGAAGTTCAGCATCCAAGAAGTCCAATGTGACCGGCTCTCTGAAGTTAATGATCTACACAAATCCATTTGGAAAAAATAATTATTGTTACAGAGATAAACATGCATTAAAAATGGAAGGTAGAAAAGGAAAATAACTACATTTCAGACTAAATTTAAGTCTATACACAAGTAACAAACTCAAATGCTTTTCACCTTCGGCTGTAGGTTGGGGTGCAGCAGCACATAGCCATTGGGATCTATAGCAAACGTGTAACCATTGGCTCCAAGCTGTGTACAGAGATGCAAATTATTGACTGATGATCGAAAATAAAAATAACTGAAAAAGAGATTTATTTGACTTACCTTATATCTTGGTGTGAGTTCTTTAATTTCATTGAGGGCGATGTCTACACCCATGACACCAAGATTCAACTGATTCTGCAATAAAGAAACCAACAGACTGAAAAAGACAACAAACGACCACAAGGGGGCAGAATTGATATTTACCAAAACTACAGGTAATAAAACAGTCAAATCAAACGGTCAAAAACAATTGGATTAATGCTTGGAGAGTGAACTGTCAAGCAAGCACATTTCTCCATTTTTATGTTAAACATAATGTTGAGTTGTTGTATCATAGTTATCATTACCATTGTCAATGTCAAAAAAAATTATAACTTTGGTAAGAAAGCATCTGCTTGGGACATAAATTGAAGAGCAAATAAATTGAGAAGCGAATGTGCCTCCAGGAAAAATAACCGATATGTGACGACAGGCAGTGTGTTGAATTATAATGCGCTCTGCATTTATCAGTCACACTGGCAGGACAGTTGATCATCTAATGGAAAGGTTACTCATCCATCAATGCACAAATTAAAGATGTGTGCAAACACTACTGATGCAATTCTGAACCATCCAGCCAAACAGACAATGTTTAAAATACAGTTTACCTGGAAATATAAGTCATGGAACTGATGGCATCTTCATTCAAGGCAATTATAATAAATACATATTACATATAGGCTAGAAAACCAAAATTCTGTTAATAAACGTTAGTTAATCTTTCCTTTACATTAGTGTATATATATATTATATATATATATATATATATAGAGAGAGAGAGAGAGAGAGAGAGAGAGAGAGAGATAATAGCCTGGAATTAATGGAAATGTTAATTTACATTTATATATTTATTTATATACACCCACACCCATATAAATAGATACATATATAAAACCAAAATTTTGTAAATAATCAAACAATTATTTAGATCAGCACGCTAATTATGGACATATTTTGTTAACATTTGACAAAAAGAAGGTGGCCAAATGTAAAATTATAGAGAGAGAGAGAGAGAGAGAGAGAGAGAGAGAGATAATAGCCTGGAATTAATGGAAATGTTAATTTACATTTATATATTTATTTATATACACCCACACCCATATAAATAGATACATATATAAAACCAAAATTTTGTAAATAATCAAACAATTATTTAGATCAGCACGCTAATTATGGACATATTTTGTTAACATTTGACAAAAAGAAGGTGGCCAAATGTAAAATACTAAATACTATAATTATTTTATTTTGATTAAAAAAACAAAAGAATCAACATTTTTTATGTACAGAAATTGTCCAAATTCTGAAAAAATTATTAAACATACTGTATATGCTGAAATATACTGTTCAACAAAAAAGTTCATTTAAACCTTTTAGACTGTTTGTGAATTGGTTTGCCTGATACATGTGATTGTGTAACTAAACAACATTCATACGGTTGAACTACAGTATTGTTTAAGTGTTCAAATAAATCTGCATGCACTATTTATGATATTAAACTTCAAACTGAACTTTGAATCACACTCAAACGCCCTTGTGCGTCTTCAAAGTCAAGCCCTATTCAATATGCACTCAACACGATTGTAAAAACATGCCGCTCTCAAACAGTTTGTCAATGTCAGTTAGAGAACATGCGAAGAATTAGAACTGGAATGTGATCATCACACTAATAATGCAAAACTCCATAATGCATCATTTGTATCGTCCTGCGGGGGGGTACAAGAAACAAATGACTAGTTGTTCATTTACAGGACTCTTCTCACGACTTACTCTGGAGTCTCCGTCAGTGGTGAGATTGAAGACTGGCATTGTGCCGGTAATGACGAGCCCCAAACCCTGTAAAAAAACAAAACAAAAACATACACTGCCAATGCAAAATGTTTGTTTTTATGGCTGTGAACTAAAGGAAGTTCACAGTACACTGCACACATGAATAAAAGGCTGCCACATAAAAAAACCGCCGTCCAACTCGTAGTAAAATTATATGGTCAATGACAAAGCAAACTAGCAGTGGAGATTCAAATGTGTGCATTCTGGAAAGAAAACAAAGAATGAACAATATCACAGTCAGTGGCCGCCACTAACAATCCAATCTGAAACAGTTTCTCAGTCTCAAATCAATGAATAGCGGCATGTGTCTGTGTGCTTCAGTGTTTCCTAAGGATGCAGTTCTTGCAGCGGGGTGCGGTAAACCCCTAACGCGCTAAACAATAACTAATAGCATTTCTTCAACAGTTTATAAACAAAACACTTATTTTAATAGAACTCTGTTGTGCATATGTATATTTAAGTACACTTTGTCCAACCAGTCAGTAAATAGACTTAAAATAAAGTTTTACTAACCTTACAAATGAACATTTATCTCAAAAAGTTTATGACTTAACATAACACCTGCGGTTCAGTGAGTGAGTCATCCGAGCTGATTCACTCAGAAAGTGAGTCATCTGACTGATTCAGACTGTTCTATTCCAATTGAGTCACTAATAGGTGAATCATTCGAAAGAATCGCACCAATCAGTGGATTTATTTGTGAATTAGACAGCCTGCTGTGCAATAGAAATGCAATAAAATCCAACTTTTTATTGTCAATATGCTATTTTGCAGTTCTCAGCCTAAAAGTGTGCAACGATTCCTATTCTAAGCTATATTTCATCCAGAGATGTGTAACCTAAGGGCATGTTCATACAACAATGTTGTACTAAAAAGAGAAACGTTTTGAGTGTCAAAAATGCTGTATTATGAATGCCAGGCCAGAAGTTGGCAATGTCACTTCCTAAAAAAACACTGCGCACATGTGCACATACCTACAGACACGCAATATGCATACGGCATCAGCATTTTAACAAAACAGTATAGTTTTCAAAAACGTGAGCCGTTGTTGTGTAAATGAATGTCCAAAATGAATAAAAAAGTGTTTGTTTTTAGTTGAAAATGCTGTTGTGTAAACGCCCCTTTAATCAGGGGTTCTCGAGTAAGGTCATAGAAATATTAATATCTACTATTGATTACGATATTAAAATAGATGTTTAATTTTACTGCATTTTTCTGCAAGATAAACACGAGCAAACACTCAATTCAAGTGGGCTCAGATTCTGTGCAGGCTAATCGAAATTATACAATGCAATTTTGAGTTGTTGATGATGATGTTGATGATGGAAATCTTCCATACCAGAGCATCCTGGTAAACATTGGTCCACTGCACTTGTTTAGCCCGTTCACCTGCCAGCACCATTGGCCGTCCAAGAACATCCAAATACTCCTGATAACAAAAAAGAATTCAACACACATATCACAAGAACTGTAGTGCAACTCAGTTTTACAACAAACACGACCAGGAGCACCAATCGAAACGATCCATTCTCAACAGGTTACGACTAATAACACTCTGAGCTCTGAAAGTGCGACACTAAAGGCAGGAGTCCACACCTCCCTCTGTCATAAAGCAAACGACTGCGACTCGCCGCTCCATTACATAAAGCACGCTGTTAAAAGCGTCCGCTCCAGGGGCCAGTAAAGCCAGCTGCACAGAGGCACTTCCAGCCGTAACAAATCATCATAAAGCAGCTATTAAAGCATATTACAGCTGCTAGAAAGCACATTCTCGCTCTGGAGGGGTAGGGTGGGCTGCCACAGGACGGCACTTGTTGGGTCGCCGTAAGCACAAGTTTATAAATGACAATTCTGTTTTCAACACAACACTATTTGGGAGGTTAATCATTCAAAGAAGTGAACCTCAACAAAACTGTCTGAAAGAATGGGGTCAAAAAAAAAAAAAAAAGGAAATGAGGCTTATTTTAGGAAAAAAATCTCTATTTAGTGTGGGGGGGCATATATACATACTGTATATTGATCATATATATTATATAATTTTATATATATATATATATATTATAGATTATTACTATCTATCTATCTAGGCATATGTAGTTTTAATATTTATTTATTGTGAAGCCATGTGTACAGGGATTGAAATTAACTTTTTCACTCACCAGCCAATTTGGCTACTAAATTTTTAAGTTACCGGCCATTCATAACTTCTACTAGCCAAAAATAAAAAATAAAAAAACTGAAATAAACCAACAGTTTGAGGCGGTCTACACTGAGCGTGACAAAGCGACCGCTGCAAATCATTTTGTGTCAGAATTAGGGGTGTGTACGATATTGGCAAAAAATAATATCTCAATATTTTCTAGAATTTTATCGATAAAGATAATTAGACCATATTTTGCTGAGTGTGTTATTGTGCTGATATCTTAAGGACAACCGTGGACAGCTGACTCCTAAAGTTTTTGATATATTTAATATTTTGTGTGGTCAGTTTACAGCAGTGATAGAAATGAATCTTTTCCAATAAGTTTAAATAGATTTTTACCTTTTATGTGCATTTGACCTTTTATAAAGCCATTTTTTCTAAAAGTGTGCATCATCTTTTGAGACAAATTCTTACATTTAATCAGTCAATTATAATAATAATACATTTAGGCTGATACTAAACAAATGAAATCAGTATAAACAAAATTAATCTTTGCAGAAGTTCCATACGAAGTGGCATTTAGATGTATTTACACATGTTAATGCAGCTTAGAGGGACATGGAATGCTTTGTAACCTGCAGTTACAAATGCATAAATAATGTTTTGATATTTTAAACATTAAATTTTGAATACTGATATTTGAAATAATTTTAAAAATGAAAAGATACATTAGATGTCAAATTAAAACAATTAAAACGCCAGTAGGTGACAGTAAGTCACTGTTAATAAGTGAGTCATTGCGGCTGATCCGAATCATTTAAACGGTTGACTCATTCAGGAACAAAACACTGTCGTGTTGCTCAGACACATAAAACAGCAATGTGGCTGTGTTTGGAATTATTTTTGTTGGCGAAATAGAGCAAAAGCAGGCATGGTGTCTAAAACGTAAGTCTCTTGATAGTAACTTATTGTTTATTGAACTGTTGTATAAAATCAATTCACAAATCACATTTGTAACCATGCTGATTTTTTATTTAAAACGGCACTCTTCGTGTGATATTGATTAACTATATGAAATGATATAACTATATACATTTTCTGCCCCCTTATCTTGAATTATGTGATCATTCTTAATGCATATTAATAGACTGAATCATGCACTGAAAGAACGCACTCTAAATGCCTACGTGCACTAAGTTAATGTAGTTGCTTATGCGGATGCGTGCTGTAGGTGTGTTTTGTTTGGTGTTTGCAAAATTCTCGATAATGTAATGAGTTAAGTATTTGCACTAAACCTGCACAGATTTGGCTTGCACGAATTTCCCCAAGAAATTAATGAGTGAACATAACTTAACCAGCCAAATTGGCTAGTGATTTGACCGCGTTACCCGCCACAGCTGATTTTTACCCGCATTTGGCGGGTTGGTGGGTGTTAATTTCAAACCCTGGTTACATCCCTAGTATTGACATCACAGCTAGTCAGAGAGCTAACTTTCTAACCAGCATTATCACTGGTGATCAGTTCTGCGCATCTCAAACAAGCCTGTTGCCAATGTCAAGCTGTACTGGCTAAGATTAAGGAAGTAAAAACATTTTGTGTGTGTGTGTGTGTTTCTGCAGATGCTGTTTCATCTGTTTGTTTGCAGTGCTGATAAACAAAGGTAAGCATCTGCTTAATACATCTGAGATGATTTGAAAGATGCCAGATCTTCTAATAGTGATAACTGATCTCTTGCTAATTTGGTTCTTCAAATGAATTTGCGGATTTGATTAAAATATCTGGATTAAGTTGTCTAAAATGACTGCGCGTTCTCATGTTCCCCGTAAAGGGCAGATGTATCGATACTTGAAACCACGATCAGCAATGCAGCGATTGGCTGGCGGCAAGACAGCAACGTAATGACATCATATAATTAAAAAAGACACCTGACGAACGCAAAGAAAGAAGGCATAACTTTTATTCTTGCTGTAGTATTGTTGTTGCCATGCTGCCATGTTGTGGAGACGCTGTGTGTTTAGTTATGAAAGCAAAACTACTTTGTTTGGTCTTCCAAAAGAGGACAAGACTAGAAATCAGTGGTTAAGTTGTATTTACAACACTGTTCCAGAACAGTTCAACCCACATATTCAGAAGTGTGCAGCGCATTTTACGGAGGACTGTTTCCTGATCCTGGAAGAGCAAAGGCTGTTTCTACAAAGGACAGTCTGGTGCTTCTGACTCACAGACCATAAGTATGTTTTCATATTTAAAGGATTTGCCACTGACGATTCAAACATGAGTTTTGAGCAGTGTAGAATAGGGCTTGTTGTTTGTCATTACTCTGATCACAAATGCAGACATGTTTTTTTTTTACTAATTTAATATATGTAAATAAATACACACACACACACACACACACACACACACACACACACACACATCACTTAAATAATTAATAATTAAATAATTAAAATAATTCTAAATAAATCCTAAAGATACTAAGATATGGAAATGTCCATGCTTTATTATTCAGTTTTCAATTATTATTATACATTTTTCTTATAAATTTTTCAAAACAAATTTCCTAAAATATCCATGTTTGTTGTGACTGAGAGTTTTCACACAAAATATAATTTATTTTTTCCTGTTTACCTGTACATTTCATGAGATTCACCCGAACCTTTCACCACTCTGTCAATGCCAGGCCGAGAAAACCCATTTAATAATTTAATAATCCAGCTTCAACATCTTAACACAGCTAATGGAGGGCCAGAAGCTCATGTGGGGAATAAGCCAGCAGCTTGTGTAAGTGTGGCCTTTTGATGAAACTGCAGCATTAGGCCACTTTTATTTCTTGCTGGAACATGGAAGTGCTGACAAGCGTAACCTATTCTATTATTAGCTCACTAAAACACAGTTTAACGTGCCGTGGGGACACATTTCAGCAGAGAAGATGACAGGCGGACCTTTTCACGCGGGAGAAAAGAGAAAGGTAAACAGCAGTGGGCCGGTAATGGGGGCCTCTGCGGTACGAGGGGATAAAGAGCAGTGACACAGCAGGCCGCCACACAGATTAGCTTGTAGATTTCCAGTCTGTCCATAAACCTTCATGAACTCAATGCAGCAGCTCAATTATAAAGGAGCTGCATTCATATTCATACTGATCTCATGATACTTAGCAATGTGACACTTTAATGTTATACAGGTAGAGATTAAAGGTAAAGGCAGCAGCTTTCTCCAGTTGAACACTTTCACAATCAACTCAATGGCTTTCTAATCACACTAACAGCCTGAGGATTTATGCAGACAGCATGCGAGTAATTCATATTAAGCATAAATGTATTATATGACAAAATAATCCTATATACACTACCGTTCAAAAGTATGGCATCAGTAATATATATTTTTTTAAAAAAGCAATCAATGCTTTTATTAAGATAAATTATAGTATTATAATTTTTTAAATATTTTTTTAAATTAATTATGTATCATAGTTTTTATTAAAATTTTTAATTTATTTTTATATCTTCCATTTTCCATGTGTATATTCAAGTTTTCCTTTCTCTTTGGAGTGTTACAAGCTGTTTGTGAATAGAAGTCCCTAAAGTTGCAAAGACTGAAGTCTCAAATCCAAAGAGATATTCTTTAGAAAAGTTAAGACTCGTCCACGCCCCCCTAAAACGGCTCGTTCTAACACGCCCCCACATATCTATGTCACAATGTGGGAAGATTTGCATAACACCGCCCAAATGTTCACGCAAAGAAAGAAGGCATAACTTTTATTCTTGCTGTAGTATTGTTGTTGCCATGCTGCCATGTTGTGGAGACGCTGTGTGTTTAGTTATGAAAGCAAAACTACTTTGTTTGGTCTTCCAAAAGAGGACAAGACTAGAAATCAGTGGTTAAGTTGTATTTACAACACTGTTCCAGAACAGTTCAACCCACATATTCAGAAGTGTGCAGCGCATTTTACGGAGGACTGTTTCCTGATCCTGGAAGAGCAAAGGCTGTTTCTACAAAGGACAGTCTGGTGCTTCTGACTCACAGACCATAAGTATGTTTTCATATTTAAAGGATTTGCCACTGACGATTCAAACATGAGTTTTGAGCAGTGTAGAATAGGGCTTGTTGTTTGTCATTACTCTGATCACAAATGCAGACATGTTTTTTTTTTACTAATTTAATATATGTAAATAAATACACACACACACACACACACACACACACACACACACACACACATCACTTAAATAATTAATAATTAAATAATTAAAATAATTCTAAATAAATCCTAAAGATACTTTACTATGGAAATGTCCATGCTTTATTATTCAGTTTTCAATTATTATTATACATTTTTCTTATAAATTTTTCAAAACAAATTTCCTAAAATATCCATGTTTGTTGTGACTGAGAGTTTTCACACAAAATATAATTTATTTTTTCCTGTTTATTGTGACATTTCATGAGATTCACCCGAACCTTTCACCACTCTGTCAATGCCAGGCCGAGAAAACCCATTTAATAATGCAATCTTCCAGCTTCAACATCTTAACACAGCTAATGGAGGGCCAGAAGCTCATGTGGGGAATAAGCCAGCAGCTTGTGTAAGTGTGGCCTTTTGATGAAACTGCAGCATTAGGCCACTTTTATTTCTTGCTGGAACATGGAAGTGCTGACAAGCGTAACCTATTCTATTATTAGCTCACTAAAACACAGTTTAACGTGCCGTGGGGACACATTTCAGCAGAGAAGATGACAGGCGGACCTTTTCACGCGGGAGAAAAGAGAAAGGTAAACAGCAGTGGGCCGGTAATGGGGGCCTCTGCGGTACGAGGGGATAAAGAGCAGTGACACAGCAGGCCGCCACACAGATTAGCTTGTAGATTTCCAGTCTGTCCATAAACCTTCATGAACTCAATGCAGCAGCTCAATTATAAAGGAGCTGCATTCATATTCATACTGATCTCATGATACTTAGCAATGTGACACTTTAATGTTATACAGGTAGAGATTAAAGGTAAAGGCAGCAGCTTTCTCCAGTTGAACACTTTCACAATCAACTCAATGGCTTTCTAATCACACTAACAGCCTGAGGATTTATGCAGACAGCATGCGAGTAATTCATATTAAGCATAAATGTATTATATGACAAAATAATCCTATATACACTACCGTTCAAAAGTATGGCATCAGTAATATATATTTTTTTAAAAAAGCAATCAATGCTTTTATTAAGATAAATTATAGTATTATAATTTTTTAAATATTTTTTTAAATTAATTATGTATCATAGTTTTTATTAAAATTTTTAATTTATTTTTATATCTTCCATTTTCATTTTAAATGTAAAGTTTCAGTAATTTATTTTTTTTGTCATTTTTATAATTTTTTTTATGTCTATGCAGTTTTATGAATTTTTATTACATTTTTAGTTTTTAGCACATATAGTTAAACTGAATGAAAATGAGAAATGTTGCCTTACTACCTGAAATAAAATAAAATGTATTTTACGTTGTACTTTATTTCAAGTAACAATCTTTTTTTATAGTTTTAGTTAACCCTAATTTACACAAAATAATAATTGCCTCAATGGCTAAACTGCTTGTAGCATTGCACAATGTAAACTATATTATCGCTCCAGATATAATCTGCTAAATAAAGCATGAAGATATCAAGATAATATAAACCTCTACATCACGATTATCTGTTGAGCTGCTTTACAACCATGTGTTCAGTGAAACAAACTATATTAGTAATTAGACTTGTCTTTTGGAAATTTTCTTCAAGCAACTTTCATACATTCATTAGAAGAACTTTTTTGCAGGTTGGATGGTTTTTCCTGTCAGAAATCCACCAGCATCTGCGAGCGATTGCTGTGGAAGTGCAGTTGGCGGTTATTTTTGTCCACGGCTCTTGGAGGTAACAGTATGTGACAGGAGAGGAGGTGGTGAGGAGGTGCACAGGTGTGGCGGCCGCTGCTGTCGATATATACAGTTACACGCCCACACCTGTCTCACGCAGGCTATTAGAATAAGTGGCAGTTCTCTGAATAAAATTACACTCAGCCTAATGGAACAGCTGATGGTCTATTCAAGAGCCTGATCAGCTCGCCTGCGGGAGGTTCAATGCACGCCGGGGGAGAAAGAGGGAGGAGCAGACACGAATGAATAAAGCTAAGCTGGATTGGAAAAGAGGGGAACAGATAGTAAAAGGTGATAGAGAGGAGATAAAGAAGAAAGGCCGAGACGTCTGTGAAGAGTGCTGAAGAATCACACAGAAGAGCTGGGGAAATTTGGACCGACTGCTTTCAGGGAAGAGCGATGCTATTGCGGCGGGTTTCGTGGGCCTCGGGAAAGATTGCTGGAGGATCATGAAAACTGTACGGAAGTGGATTAGAGAAATCACAGTCCCATTTGAATCTTATTGATGCTAAATATAGAAGTCTGTATCACTTTATCCGTTCATCTTTACAGTTCTCTCTATGCTTTCTAGCGTGACATATATATCTCTAAATCGTGATAACATCACAGAGCTTCAAAGCTCAGAAAACTGAATGAACTTAGCGTGAACTGGATTTATGTATAGAGGCTTTATTAAAACGGAAAATCTGCCACTTTTGAAGCTTATATGAGCATACCTGTGAATGCGTATCAGCTGAAGATAAACTGTTTATTGTGATTCATTTTAATGCATCAGTATTGTCTTTCACATGGCTGTTGTTGCTGTTTTTATAAAGAAATGAGCCACTCGAGGCAATGCACTACAGTGATTTTACCACCATTGAAAGGGTTTTACGTAAAAACACCTCTTAAATGAGTTCAAATAACCTGTATAAATATAGATAATATATGTATATGTGCCTTAAAAAACATTAAAAATCATACTAACCCCAAAACTATATATACTATACAGATTTTTTACATTTTTGAAAGAAGTCTCTTCTGCTCACCAAGGCTGCAATTTTGATTAAAAATATGGTAAAAACAGTAATATTGTGAAATATTATCACAATTTAAATAACTGTTTACTATTTGAATATATGTAAAAACGTAATTTATTCCTGTGACCAAAGCTGAATTTTCAGCATCATTACACTTTTAAAAATAAAGGTGCTTCAAAAGGTTCTTCAAGCGATGCCATAGCAGAACCATTTTTGGTTTCACAAAGAAGCATTCAGTCAAAGGTTCTTTAAAGAACCATCTCTTTCATACCTTTTTATAATCTGAAGAACCTTCTTTCTCCACAAAGAAGCTTTTGTGAAACAGAAAGGTTCTTCAGATGTTAAAGGTTCTTTATGGAACCATTTAGACAAAAAGGTTCTTCTATGGCATATTTTTAAGAGTGTACTCCAGCCTTCAGTGTCACATGATCCTTCAGAAATCATTCTAATATGCTCATTTGCTGCTCAACAAATATTTATTTTTATTTTACTGTTAAAAACTGTTGCGACTTAATATTTTGGTGGAAAATGTGAATCTATTTTTCAGGATTCTTTGATTAATTGGAAGTTCAAAAGAACAAATGATTGGAAATAGAACTCTTTTGTAACATTAGAAATGTCTTTACTGTCACTTTTAATGCATCCTTGCTGACTAAACAAACTAATTTCTTAAAAACATATTACTGACCCCAAACCTTTAAACAGTATTGTATGTGTATAAGACGCAGTAGAAATGACAAACCTGTGTGTTGATTCTTATGGCTCCGATGGAAGGGATCTCAAAGTAGTAACCTGTTCAGAAATCAACATAAACCAATAACAGGGCTGGTTAATGTTGACATATTTGCTCTGCACCAAAATATAGCAAGCTGACTAACTAGGCAACAGCTTTAGGGGTCTGTGCGCTACAAACGTAAATGCAGTTCAGAACAGACAAACCTGCAAAATTATATTTAACTACCTTGTTTTGACAAATCTAAAGCAGTTTTACAGCAGAATTCACTGTGGCAAATTGTTGATGACAAATGTAATTTATTCAATGATGAAAGGAATTGATAGAAAAAAATGATTATTTCATTCAAGTTTTGTGAAAGCTATTTTGTCACGCTTACAAACATGTTTACTTTATAGTTTAGCAACATGCATAATATTTCAGCATGCAGACAGACTGGCCGAGTGCTATGCATATGTTAGCCAGAGCATGTGCTGTGCTGCAGTTTGTTCTGTTCATTCATTAAGCATTCAGCGGCTGATTATTGAGAGAGTGGACACACAGACAGGGTCAATATGGCCTGCTCAACACGTTATTAAACACAAGAGTGTCTGACCAAAGAGCACAACATCTGAGGTGTTTAGAGTCAAGAAACTAAGTTTGCCACTTCAAACTTATAGCCATTTTCTCTCAACACACACACGTATAAAATTAATACTTACATATTTTACATGTTAAAGTATTAGACTAGATATATGATAGTGACTTTTTTGTATACTTGTGAATTTGTTGTGATGCATTAAAAATCTAACTACTGTACTTATGCCATAGCATAATAATAACTAATTGTAAGCATGTTTAATGTTTTTATTACATACCGAAAAGGTCTGGTGTTAAAATAAATTTATATAATCCTCATTAATATGAATCTACATTTACACAAATTCATCAGAATCGATCAAATCTTGAAACAGCCATTTTTGGTTGACAATACAGATGGATTTGTATTGACGCAATAGTTTTGAATATGCATATTTTCTAAACAGGTACCATGTGTTCTTCTAATTATATGTGGGCTGAAAACACAAACGAGGCTGAAAACATTCACATGAACATGAAATCAGTTCAGCCTTCGCTCAGTCTGCTGTTATTGTTGTAAAGGTCACTGAACAATTTCAGTCTCGATAACTTCAGGACCAACATTTTGTGGCTCATTTGAGTCGAAACCATCATTAACACAGAGGTCGGGTGTAGAGTTCACATCACCATAGGCTGTGAGCGGCTAGCAAGATACGTCTGTGGTTTTCTTGCTATCTGGTATCTATACTAAAGAAATGTCATTGGTTCAATATATGATAAGCTCTATCAACATTTGAGGCATAATGTCAGGGTACCAAAGAAAATAACTGAGTCATTCTGATCAGCTCTTTTAAACTAGTAATTCACTTATAATGAAAGTAAACAGGGCCATGCACTTTGAGGGTTTAAAGGGGTCATATGAAGAAGCTAAAAATAACATTATTTTCTGTATTTGGTGTAATACAATGTTTTTACCTGGTTTAAGGTTCAAAAACACATTATTTTCCTCTCTGCGTCTCTTTTCTATTTTTAAATATTTTGAATAAATAATATATATTTTTAAATCACAATATGATAATTAGGTTAACAGAATTGTTATAATGAAAAAAAAAAAAATATATATATATATATAGTATATACGGAACAAAATTATAAACGCAACACTTGTTTTTGCCCCCATTTTTCATAAGCTGAACACAAAGATCTAAGACTTTTTCTATTTACACAAAAGGCCAATTTCTCTCAAATATTGTTCACAAATCTGTCTAAATCTGTGTTAGTGAGCACTTCTCCTTTGCCGAGATAATCATCAAACTCACAGGTGTGGCATATCAAGATGCTGATTAGACAGCATGATTATTGCACAGGTGTGCCTTAGGCTGGCCACAATAAAAGGCCACTCTAAAATGTGCAGTTTTACTGTATTGGGGGGTCCGGGGGGGGGTCCGAAAACCAGTCAGTATCTGGTGTGACCACCATTTGCCTCACGCAGTGCAACACATCTCCTTCGCATAGAGTTGATCAGGTTGTTGATTGTGGCCTGTGGAATGTTGGTCCACTCCTCTTCAATGGCTGTGCGAAGTTGCTGGATATTGGCAGGAACTGGAACACGCTGTCGTATACGCCAATCCAGAGCATCCCAAACATGCTCAACATGAGGTGATGGTCATGGATGAATGGCACAACAATCGGCCTCAGGATCTCGTCACGGTATCTCTGTGCATTCAAAATGCCATCAATAAAATGCACCTGTGTTCATTGTCCATAACATACGCCTGCCCATACCATAACCCCACCACACACATGGGACTCTCTTACGGGACGTCCCGGCCTTCCTCCGGCGACTACCTCTGGACGCTACCCCAAGATAGTGTCGGAGAAGACGCGGGAAACGTGGGGGTGTGATCGTCAGAATAAAGACCTTCATGAGAGCTGGTTCTCTGGCTGTACTCAGTTCTCTGCCTTGGTCACGAGGTATGGTGTCGGACCGCTTTACGGCGCTGGAGCGACACGTTGGCTCAGGTCAATCACAACGGACCCCCCTGCCTCTGCTCCTTCTTCTCCTGTCTCTTTGGCTCAAGCGGAATATCTCCACTCTCTGATTATTATCCTTGAGGGCGCAAATACTGCCAACCTCGTTCCTCTGAGCAAAGCATCTGCTTCGCGCACCATTCTACGCTCCCCAAAAATTGTGCTGATAAACGCTCGCTCTCTGGTGAACAAGACGTACATCCTGAATGATTTTACCACTGCTCACGACCTGGATTTTCTGTTTATCACCAAGACCTGGGTGAAGGTAGGGGAACTCAGTCCATATTCATAACTTGTTCCAGCCAACTATCACTTTTACAATGCTCCGCGATCATCAGGCAGAGGCGAGCTATCATTGCTAAAGATTCTTTCAGACCTTGATGCCGACTGTTATCTTCCACCACCTACACGAGTTTTGAAGCTCAGATTTTACTTCTGAACTGGTCTGAACCTGTGGTCTTAGCTCTGATCTATCGGCTACCATATCTAATCAATGACTTCATAGTAGAGTTTTCAGAGTTTGTAGCGGATTTGATCACTAAACACGATCGCATCCTTATTTTAGGTGACTTTAACGTCCATGTATGTTGCCCCTCTAAGCAGCTAACTCCCGAGTTTTTAAACATCATTGACTCTTTTAACCTGCTGTAGTGGGTTAATCATCCTACACATACTCATGGACA